CACACCCACACCCACACCCTTTTCTTCTACAAACGTATTGAAATAGGTTCGATTGCTATATGAAACAGCTCAAAAAAAACTATCAGGATATTATTACTATAAAATAAAATCCTGTATAACTAAAATGGAAATTACGGCTATTCCTATTTTTCGTCGTGACCTTATCTTAAATGACCATTTTCAGTGAACTACGGATCGTATTTTTGCAATGAAGAACTGATAATTCTTTTCGTTATTTCAAATATATAAATGAATAGATTTTAACACAATGCTAGTTTTTTTGCCAGCGTCTATATGATGTTTCGATAAACAATAATCCATTTATTTTTCAAATTGTACAAGCTCTTTGAATCTTATTTCTATCGCGTAGCATTCACTGAAACATGATAAATACTTGAATGGAGAAATATTTGATAATCTATTGTAAATTTATTTTTTAATCGTTTGATGAACACAACGAAAAGTATACATTCAATTGCGATTGACTAGCAGTCAAAAGTCTTTAAATATACAATTATATATTTATTTATTATTTCTATTGATGTTATATGAATGATTATTTTCTTTTTTAACATTTAGTATTAATGATTATGATGTATCATTCATTGATATATCAGACGAGTGATGATTTTGACCATCATTTGTTGCATTTGATTCGAGTTGAATGTGTGGATCATTGCGTGATTTAAATCTATTATCAACTTTCCATTTTATTCGACTAATGTAAAATAAAAAAGAACCATAAATAAAAAAGCTCGCGATTTATTCTTACCGATTTTGAAACCAACACTAAACAAAGAAAATAAATAGATCAACATAAAGACCAAAGTTTTATTACTTTAATTTGTCGTTCACTTAAATCAATGTTACGAGCAATTGCAACTCGATGAGCGGGTGTTAAATATCTATTCATATTTATAAATATACACAAAAATATTCTTTTTTCTTACTTGTTACGAGCAAATTCTTTTTCTAATTCAAGTAGTTGATGTTCTGTGTAACCCATTCGAATAGTTTTACATGCAGGTTTAAATCCTATAAAGAAAAAAAAGAACAACTTCATAGGAATCATAAATAGACAACATAATGGTACAAATGTTAATCATTTCTATAAATTACATTTATATTTTTTCAACAAATCATTTTTCTCAATCAACTTACTAATAATGTGTCTCATCCATGGATATTCAGTTTTAGGCATTAAATTTGTAACTGACTTCCAATTTGTGACTGACTTCGAATTTGTAACTGACTTAGAAAATGTTAATGATGATATCATATTATTAATTGATGATAAAGTATCATTTGATGCTGAAACAAGATCGTCAATAGTTGATTGATATTGTTCATGATGAGATCTATCTGTTTGTATCATATTCAAATTTGAAGATGTATTCAGAACTATTAAATCTTCATTTCTTGGTGATAAGCTCGAATCAGTATACATTGTCTTTCGAATATAGAGGAATGATTAAATAATACTATTGTCTATGAAAAAAAAATTACATACATGTTTGGATCAATTAAGAAAAACGTTAAATAGGTATACGAACATATTTTAAATGATTATTGAAATTATTGTTGGTGTGTTGGGAAGAGAATAATTGTAATGGAACACCCTACTCGCTTGTGTTTAATTCAAAAAAATGACCTAATACATACAATATGAACAAAAAACGATCAGACCGAAATTATTCAACCAATGCCCTTCAATAAGGACATGACGAATGATGCTCCATGAGATCGGTCACTTCCAGCTATTGGCAACTTGAGAAACGAAAAGTATCTGTCCAATAATCTATAGTGGTTATTAACCTTTAATTCTTCGTTTCTGTGACCTTTTCACCGACGACTGACCTTCTCTCCTGATTGCATTCAATAAAGAAAAGACATAGTTATGAATGTTCACAATTCATCATATAACTAATCAATATTTTTCTTTTGGATGATACACAATCTATCTATTCTCTCTCGTTTTTTTCTTCTTCAAAGAACGATTATTCATTTTATCATTACTTGATAAAGGTATATATACAGTTTGAGGGTGTGGTTGTGGGTGTAGATGTGGGTGTGTTAGTGTGGGTATGGCTTAAATGGAGAAGCTAGTTTCACACCCACACCCTTTTTCTCGTTCTTTCGTTGATTTTTTTTTCTTCTTATGTTATGAAGGACAGAAAAAAATAAGCCATTGGTCACAAGATAAAGAATAACTATTATACTTCAATGGGAAAATAAAACACATTCTCTTGAGTTTAGAACGAAAAAATGAATGTATTTTAGTGACAAAGATACTTTCTAAGTTATAAGAAGATTATCTTATCGAATTTTAAAATAATTTAATTTATATTAAGAAATTAAAACATACACTTGATTACTTTTTTTTTGAAGAAAATCAAGCTCAATGTTAATGTTTTTGTTCGGTTACTATTGGATGATGTTGAGTAAGTTTAATTGTAGGTTTTGGTATGTGGTTAATACCACTACAGATAAATGGATTCCAACGTCCTTTTAATATTACACCTGGTTGTATAATACTTGAGCATAACTTATTGTCATCGAATGATTTATAATAAGGTGGTGCACATGAATTGATTTTTTTCGATGTAAACAGCCGTTTACCAATAGTAAATAAAGGTAATCGATGACGATCAATTTTATTTGAATAATAAAATGGTACATTAGTACTTAAACTAGATTTTATTCGATCAGATGAAAAACGATGTTTTTGTGTAAAACCAAATTGTGGTCGTGATAAAATATCTTTATCAGATTCATACATTGGATAAGCAGCTGGACCAGGTGAAACTGGTAGAGATTTATTATGTAAAGGTTTTCGTGAAATTATTTGACCATATAAAGATCGAATAAGAGGATCTCGACGGTGATATATTGATTCTGATGGTAAATAAAATCGTCCCGAATAATTAGATTTATTTTTATATTCTATTCGACGTGGTGTAATAGATATTGGAGGCATTTTAGCATTTGATGTATATTGATCATTGGGATAATAATGTGCTAATAAATTAGTTGATATAGATGGAATTGTTTCGTATCGACTACCGATTGTTTTACCTAAAGAAATTATAATTTTTTTTTAAACGAATAAATAATTTATAAAATATCTTGTGTGTGTAAAAAGTCTTTGCACAACATCTCTGATCCATTTCTGTCTACTTTTTCCTGACTTAAAGTTAGTTCATTGAGAAATAAAACCTTTGACGAAGGCCCAAAAACGGCACATGTAGAAAGCTTTTCGTGTAGTTCAGTTTTACAACTGATCGAAATTTATTACATATATAAGTGACTTCTTTTGAGAAATATCCTTTCATGTAAGGAATAACTGTTGGATTCTTTGTGAGTTCTAGTATATTATAATGCATAATTTAGTAAAAAACTTAAATTCTATGCAACATTAGGTAGCC